TAGATAGCCACTGCTCATCCTCCTCGTTTTTGGGTTGCGCGTTGTGTGAGAAGTTTGGGATCTTTTGGCCACCCTTCGGAAGAAAATGATCAGTGCCGCCCACACTGAACACTTCATTTCGAGCTGTCGACTTCCAGAAAAGACCTTTCTCCGCTTTAGAAGCCCAAACGAAGGCCAGGTCATATACACTCCTTGATAGGGGTTTCTTGAGACCATCAAGCAGTTTCTCTTCGGAGAAATCTACAATGTTGACTCTCAGGTATGGTTGGACGAGAGGACCCAGGATTGAGTACTTGTCGGCAATGGACAGGTGCTTTGCGCTATTGACGATGAAGCAAACGGCTGCTTCACGAATCCACGTGTTTGGATGAACTAAGAAACGCACGACGATCTGAAGGACCTCCCAAGTGGTGGATCGCTGGAAAAGACCAAGGTCAGCCATCGCTGCCAGGGATCGAAGCACTCTCTCAACCACAAATTCCTCGGGCTCGGTCATAGATTGGATCATCAGGGGCAATATGTACTGCTCCAAACTCGTACTTCCAACGTAAGCTGCAACTCCGACGACTGCTTCAAAGAACGCACATTTTAAGATCCAGTCCCGATCGTTCATATAAGTGTTCAGATGGCTCAAGATCACTTCGTTTGTCTTGAGGTTGCCGAAGAACACACACAGACTGGGCACTGAGCCTAAGAAAGCACGGCGGACAGATGCGTCAGTGTCAGTAAGGAGAGCTTTGGTATGGTTCTCAAAATATTCGAGAAGGTCTACCCTCGCAACGTCATAGAGGTTGTGAAATGTAGCATCCTCAGTCCATCTTGGCTCGGAGCCTGCCGGTATAAGGGCGGAAAGACGAGTATCAGAGCGTAGAGCCTGGATCATATCTAAGAATCTCAGAGAAGATTGCGCTAGTGAAGAGATGCAGGAGGCATACGCAGCGCGCACCATCGGGCTGGGATTGGAACTAGAGCTAGAGACGAACGGTTGCAGCCGAGGGAAGATGTATTCTGGGAAGAGATACGCGTTCACCGGCGAGACGACCTGCACCATCTCCAGCAGCTGCGCAAGAGTACGAATGGCGGCAACTTTCACACTATGTGTGCGGTCGTTTAGAAGGATCATAATGTAAGGCAAAATACGATCAAGCTTCGCCTCATCCGACAATCTCTCTGCAAAAGCAAGCAGGATATCACAAGCTTTGATTCGGGCAGATGCCCTTGCTGTGTTGCGCAGACTAGACACGACAAGCGTTAAGAAGATCAGAACGCCATCGTCAGTTCGGAGCTGAGTCTTCGCAGCCTGTGGCCCGTAGTTCGGGAGATCAAGGTGGATCGGGAACGCGTTCCCAGTAAGCCTGGGGTTACTGCGACTGGAGCCATCTTTCACAGGCTTCGAAGATGCACTCAGGAAGTAAGAGATTTTATCAAAATCATAGTAAACCCTCTCAATCCTGTCATCTGACTCGCCCCTGTTTGCCGATTCCGCTTCCACTTGCGCCCTCCCCGACGAAGGGTCTGTCATCAAAGACATGTACTGATGAAGAAAGCTGTAGAAATATTCCGGGAAAGCTTTGTTTTTCCAAAAGTTCAGGTATTCTTCAGCAGAATATCTCGACTCTGGCTCAAGCTGGATCATGTGAAGGATCATCTCTCGAATCTCCGGGTCCTCAATTTTGACCAGCTGGCTGTGTTGCGGACTGTATTCGCCTTTGCGGTATTTGTACATCTGGCTTAGGGTGAAGATTGGCGCTTCTAGGAACAGCTCTGCAATCACGCAGCCAGCACTGAATATATCCATGGCCCAATTGAGACGCCTATTCCCTGGCTCCTCGCCGGCCTCGAGGAACCGCTCAGGGGCCAGATAGCACGTCCGTCGCCCTGAGGTGTCAAAATAGAAAGAAAAGTCTGCAGGATTGTCCTCCGGCAAGAATGTTGGCTTGAAAGACGAGGAGAAGTCCGTGAGGTACAGCCAATTCCATGATGTCACCAAGATGTTCTCTGTCTTGATGTCGCCATGGAACACATCCAATGAGTGACAATCCCGAAGGACACATAAAAGTTGAAATGCAATCCATTTCTTCTCGATTTCTTCTGGAAATGGTCGAGTGCTGCGAGGTCAGAAAATTTCTGGCAGATAATATGTACGAAGCATACCTCATCCTGTCATATAGAGAGCTGTGAATATATTGGCGAACCAGATAACCCCCGGTGCCGGTCTCCAAAATTCTTTGATGGCTCAAAGCATTTGGGACATCAGAAAGCAGTTTGCGCTCCCCTAGTACGTTGTCAGAGTATATCCAGAGCTGTTGCACGGCAAAAGCAAACTCACGAATGATGGCTTTGACATAGGATTCTAGCTTCATGCTGGGGTAAGGCTTCATGATTACCTTTACAAGAACGAGGCCATTTTGCTGTCTTGCTCGGATACTTTTCATGAACCGGCCACCACCCATAGACTTCTCATACATCAGATCTGATAGCTCGGGAACATCTATCCCAGCCGAACCCGTTGAAAGGGTTGTGAGGGAGTAGCCTTGCCCCATAGTGTCGCGACGAACTCATCTCAAGAGCTAACAAGAATCACGAATTTCATCCACTAAGAGTAGATAGAACTTCAACAAATCTCCGAGACACAAGCCTACAACGTTGATAGAGTTGATATTGATATTGATATTGAAGCGATCTGTACGCAAACTCTCTGAATAGATGCCCACTGATCATCATGTCCTGACATAAGAGTCGGGTGACGGCGATGATGGGGTCACATGACTTTCAGGCGGTGTAGCTACTGCTTACAACGCCCATTGTGCCGTTACCGTATCACTGGGCCAAGTCTGACCCATTAATTGCTTGTTTTCTTTGGATAGATCATCAATTTCAAGAAAATCAACCTTAGATCTTGGAGATTCGTTCTTGCGCCACCGAATAGTATTCCAGGAGTTTACCAACAATTACATCTTCCTTCGCATCTTGGAGTTGAAGAGCCCTTTCAAGGTTTCACCGTTTAAGATTCTGAAGTGGTCTAACATAAGCTAGCACCGCAAGTTAACTAAAGTACGGAGTAGATTTGCACCAACTAGTCTTTGGCGTCCAATCAAACAGTTTCGTGAGAGAGAGAGCTCGGCCGTCCTTCTCCCTGAGCTTTCCACACTCTCGACATAATATGAACGACTTTCAATTTTCGCAGTCCGGCTCATGAATTATGGGTCAGGGTACATGAGCCCCGCATCATACTTCACCTGGTGTAGGCTATAAGAAGGCCAGTGCCGGTATCGAGGGCTTGAACTGAGTTTCTCTCACTGACACAATCAAACGACTGACATACCGATCGTCAGTGACATAACGTCATCCGTGGTTATTGTAGGACACTTCGTCGCGTCGCGATTGTTTTGGGGAGGGCAAAGTAGCTGGTAGTCGCAAGACTCGAAAGGGCATCTGCGAAAAAGACTGAACGATTACTTCCAACAGCGTCCACCAGGATGGATGCGACGGCAACACCTGTCTTACCGACTAGTGATGAGTATCCAGAGATTCCTATTATCGATGATAATGAGAGTCTTGCCGAGGTGATTCGAAAATTAGGGAAGTAAGTTCAGCTTGCATATGCCCAACTTATATCGGCGGGTCTAACTTGGCATATCACCAGTTACCTCAATGTAGCTGTACCTGATGTTGCATGTACATTTGAGCAGCTGAGATCTTCTGCCTATGGACACAAGCTCCGGCTCCTCATAGGCTCTCTGGCTGAGAATTCACACAATCCTTGGATTATCTCCGCTTTGATGTGAGTTGAGAACGAAAATTATCTTGCAAAAGAACGACTGCTGAGGATCACTTGTCTTAGGATCTTGAAATGGCAGTTAAACAATGAAGACAACGACTCCGATTGGGGGTTGAACGAAAGTCGGGGTTATGCGTGTGAATACATTGCCTGGCAGTTTCTTTGTCACCTCACACGACGGGAGATGATAGATGTACTGCTTGAGGAGCTTCCCTCTCCCAGACGAGATTCCGCAACAATCTCACAGGCCGAGCAAGGTGCATCTGGACTTGGATCAATCTCCCATGAAGATGAAGGCAACGAAACAGAGGGCGAAAGGACTCCGCTATTGTTGAGCTCTTCCTCGTCCCTCTACCGATTCTTTGTCGGCAAAAGCCACCAAGGTGACTCTTGCGCTGGGGACAATCGGGGATCTCGGGGCTGGTATTATGATGATCCCAAACTTCATTCCTTCTCACCCTTTTTCGGTCTCAACGCTCTGGAAATCGCAACAATCGCCCATGCTAAAAAGTTTCTCAGCCAGAAGGCTGTTCAAAGGGTGATAGACGATATCTGGAATGGGGAGATTGTTTTTTGGGACTCACTGAGTGTACATTCCAAGAAGAAGCCTCAGTTTTTCAACAAAAGGTAAGATAGAATCTTCCAAGCATTTACGGTTTACTAATATTTTCGGGTTCCGCGCTACAGGACTGCGGATCCATACTCAAGATTAAGGGTTCCAATGTATCGAAAAGCGTTTGAAGCCGCTTTTTTTGTTTCTTTCTTGTTCCTATACTACGCAGTCCTTGTTGAGAGGAAACCTACCGGCATAGGCATATTCGAGACGTTGATGTATGTCTGGATAGCTGCCTTTGCTTATGATGAACTGAGTGGCATGGTCGATGCGGGGATGCTCTTCTACCAGATGGATTTTTGGAGCCTCTGGAACATGGGCATCATTGCCATTGGGCTTGCCTTCGTTATCGCACGTGAGTCATTCGCCCCTGTAGCAATACCTGGGCCAGCTCCGGCGAAGGCGACAAGTATGCACCGCTGTTTTTAGGTCTCCTTACTGATCAGGGTTCGCAGGTATCGTTGGTCTGGCTAAGGAGAGCGATTATATCACGGACTTATCATTCGACATACTGTCATTGGAGGCTTTGTTTTTGGTTCCAAGGCAAGGCTTCAGCTACCGCCGACGATTGATTGGCGCCTCGGCTCACAACGTCGACTAACATGAGCAATTCACAGGATTTGCTCACTAGTGAGCTTGAACCCGTATTTTGGCAGCTTGGTACGCCGGACTATCTTCTTCATGCTGGGGAACCACCTTCCGGAATACATACTGACAAGCTGCTGCGCATAGATACCTGTTTTGAAAGAGATGGTACCGCTCTCAATATCTCGGGGTACGCCGATTGGTACAAGGCTAATTGATATGTTCTAGACCAAAGCCTTTTTCAGGTTCCTTCCTGTGGTCGTCGTTTTGTACATTGGTGAGTAGTTGAAGGGCTCAGGTCATGTCGATTTATGCCTCATGCGAGCTGAACTTGCTACCAGGGTTCCTGACGACGTTCACTATGCTTGCCCGTGACCGACTGTCTCTGCGGCAAATGTCATGGATTCTTGTGAAAGTATTCTTTGGGTATGTCGGTGAAGATTCCCTATTTCCGACCGCTCATTTGACTGACAATGCGAGGCAGATCGAGTGTCTTAGGATTTGTACGCTTCTTCGTCGTTGTTTTGTGGGAGAAGAACATTCTTGACTGACGGTGGCTTGATCGATTGGCTATTAGGACATCGCATATGATGTAAGTCCGTTGCTCTAAGTGGCTGCCATCCACGATGTGACAGGATGCCGACGGGTTTGGCAGAATCGATAGGCTCTCGTGTTAAGATAGCTAACGCGCTAATTTCTTAGATTTCTCCGATCTTTGGCTACGGTTTAATGTGAGTTTGATATACCTCTCCTACTGCGCCACACGAACCATTTGAACAGTCAACCGCATACAAATTAAATCACGTTCACTCTTGAAGTGGCTATGAATCGGCGTCTTTCCTTTCTATTCCTTCCTTCTATTTTAATTGGTTTATTTGCTTTTTGTCTTCATTTTCTAATTATTATTTTGTTTTTTCCCGCGTTGTTGCTGGGCGTATGGTGTGTGGGGTTGGCGCAGTTAGACGCCCGGCACCAGTCACCCCTCAAACGAGCCGCCTGACAATTGGATATACACGGAGCTTTCTGAATGAACATTGAAAGTGGAGCGAGAAGGAAGGATGGCGAAGAAGCTGAGAGCTCAAACGAAGAGATGACTAACGTCCACACTCGACAGGCTCTTGTTCGTATCAATGACAAATTTGTTATTGATCTCCTCTCTGGTTAGCTTGATGAGCATGAGTCTAGAAGGGGTGCGTTTATTTTGACTCGCTTTGAAATCTCATCTGCAGATTGCTAAATCATCCTGCATTATAGGTCATGGCTCATGCGCGGGAAGAGTATCGTTTCCAGTTCGTCGCACCCCTGTCGCGCCTACTGATTCGATCTCCAACTGTATTAATGTGTTGCCAATAGGTTATCCATTTACGTCCTAGAAAGCAGCAACTCTAGAAGACTAACTTATTTTATGCCACCTTTGGTAAGTCCTATCGTGGTTTAACCTATACCCAATGAACACCACTTAGCCGTTAGTCCACCGACTTTGGCTTGGTTACTTATATTAGACTTTATACCAATGCTAAACGGCACAGAACCTCATCCCGCTTCTCTGCATTCGGCCCCTAAGGCTGTTTCTGTCCGCAGGGCATATCCGTCGAGTTCGCATCGTTCTGCTCCGGGCAACCCACCTTCCTTTTGTGGCCTTGATCTGGGCTTTTGAGTCTAGCCGCCGCTATGTTTCGCAACAAAACAACCAATTTCCCCCTACTCAAGCGACTTCTACCTCTTCCATCCAGGCTAACTTCCCTTTCTCCACGCACCACGCTCCGCTCCATGCCTCCACAGTCGATACATCACAGCTGGGTTGTGGGAAATCCAAGGCATCGACCAACGCGGCTCAGCGTGCGGAAGCCCGCGGAGTGTGTGGACTGACTCCAAATCAGGCCGGGCATAATGACTTGGCGGATATGATCGACGAGCTGGAACGGTTGCGCACCCAAGTGGAGCGCGTGGCAGCTACAGTAGCTTTCCACCAGCGAAATCGACTGTGAGACCGTGGAACAGTAATTAGAGCAGAAAATAAGAGCATGCTAGATATTCTGAGGCTAGTTACTCCGTCGACTAGTTCCAGACTTCCATTTGAACAGACCACGACCTAAAAAGATAGACACACGCACTGGCTTGATGGCTGGCCCCATAGTCTAAAAGACTAGCGCGAGCACCGGCCACCGACAAGTCTGACTACTAACAATGGTTCAAGATGTGACCTTCGGATGTCGTTACTATTATTGCTTAGATGCCTTGGTACCAATATGCAGATAGTGTCTGTGGATAGAAAACAAGTAAATATGCATGAAATTATGGAATACCTTGTCGGTCATTACCTTCTGCCCCTTAAGTCTATTCTTATCGCGCCTTTGTTGAAATTCCTTTCTTAACCCTAAAAGGTATGCCTGAGGCATTCGCGTGATTTGAAGATTTTCATGATCTCCCTTGGCATTGCAAGTATATCTATCCTCACCACATGATATGAAGAGTATTGGCCCCTGGAGAATTAATCAAAGCAGTACTGACTCATTTGTCCTGCGGTAGTCCGAGCGCCATCATCCTCAAACCAACGGTTATCTCTAGTTAGTATAGATAAGGTATAGAGTCACTTTGGTAAATTGAAACATTTACTTGGCAGCCTGGTTGTGAAGAGACATTATTAGTAGTAAAGGTACTTTGTAGGCAATGCCCCTCTTTCCCCTGTTCCTGGTATTAAGAGAGGGGAGCGGCTCGACCAGGTGGTACTCCTGCTTCTTCGTCTTCGTCTCCTCTCTTCTCTTCTCGTCGACAACAACATCCTCTGCATCAACTTTGCAACCATCAACCAACCGCTTTTCCGTCTCCCTACATCACATCCTGCAGGACTCCCTTGTTTCTTCACACGCTGACTTTCTTCAAGTATGTTGCCAACTCTTGATTTCTGGGATTTCGCAGCTGTGCCAATCACACCAGGCGACACGCACTGCTCATTTGCCAAGCAAGGTACCAGACTGTCGGGTCGCAACTAAACCTCTTTGATGCTCGTCTCGCAGCAGGAAAAGACGAAATGAGTGATCCGGCGGCGATGATCGGGGGAACAAGGTGGCAGTGGCATTCCCTCACCCCCCAGAAACTAGGAGGACGCGGTTATTCCAGTCGCAGAATGTGAAGAGAGAACGGTGAAGCACTTATCATTATTCTACTCATCCCATTCTTCCAACTGGTCTTCCTTCACTCTTATGCAACCCCCTGGTCCGGTGGGCTGCTAAGATAGGTATTTCCCTTCTCTCATCACCAATCCATTTCTCTGCCCCCTCTTTCTATTGTTTTTTATTATTATTACTTGTTTTCCTTATGGATTATTCCTTTTCAGACCCTGTTGGAGCACAGTACCATACAGCAGGCCCCAGTGGGCTGCCTGTTTCTCCACCCTTTTTTTCTTCGACCACACCAAGCGTCGCTCCCTCAAATCCCCAGGAACATGGATCAGAATTAATAATTTGACAACTCGGGCTGATCACACATTCCCGGCGCTAAGTCATTGTGCACAAGTTCCCATCGTTGCGCCTATCTGAATGTTGCAGACATGGCCTGCAATGATCAGTCCAGCCCGGCCCTGCCCAGCTAGCTTTCCCACGACCCCCTTCACAAGTCTCTCTCCCTCCTCCACCGCATCCTTCCCTTCACTTCTCTTCCAAGTCTGCCTTGCCCACTCAGGCGTCAAGGTAATTGCTTTCCTTGTGTCTACTGCGCCGATGCGGCGGGAAATGTACACAGGTGAGCGTCATATGGCTGAATCTCCTGTCGTCTTCTCAGCCGCTACACATGTTCGCCGCAATTCTTACCCTGCAACAGCATTGCTGTTGAGTCAAAGCACTGCTTTAAATAATTTACATGCTTTCGTCTTGATTCTTTGATATTAATATCTTTTTCCATTCGTCTGAGGTCCCGACTGTGAGGTTGCAAAGAGATCCAACTCAAGTTACCCGGAGTTTCCAACAGAAAAGCCAAGTGATTCAAACTTCCAGACAACACTTCTCCTTCCGACTGTGACAGCACAACTCCTGGTCATGAATTGGACCTCCGAATCCTTCTCGTCCGCTTCAACCTATGTTCCCTCTTCATCTGAGGACAACCCAATGATGATAGAGACAACTCACGGTTACGCGACAGAGGCCTTCGCGCATGCAAACTATCCCAACAATCCACAGCCACCTACTGGTCTTGGAATCACTTATGTTGGTATGGAGGCTCAGTTCAGTCAGATGGGACTTTGCTCTGTTCCAGAAACACTGTCCCAACCGACGACCGACTGGCCAGATCAATTGATGCAGTCCGTATTCGAGGACTGTCTGGAGGTTGAGAATCTTACCACTGGGGCATGCTACGAATCCTTCCCTGTTCATCATGATGTGTCCACCTCTCCCCACAGCCTTTATAGTCCGCAAACCCTAAGCGCATCACCGAGTTACTGTTCGACCTTGGATGTGGGAAATCAGGGTACAACGTGCAGCCAGACGTCCCATAGGTGGCCGGGTACGCCTTGTTCGGATAACACCACTCCTTTCGAGGGATGGCCTCACGTAAAGCAGGAATATGACGACTGCCCGGATCCGCTTCTCTACTCTGAACCGAGTGATGCGTCTGGAGTCTCTACGACCACAACAATACCTCAGCTGATGGTGAACAACACCTTTGCAGTCACGGCATCCCCTGGAAAAGAGAAAGGCGACACCGCTCTTAAGCCTGATCCAATATTCGAAGACTCCATGGGCCACGATCAGACGGCAAAAATACCTCAGTTCACCGCTCGGGCGGGCGCGGCGACATCAAATGATAATGACTCATGCAAAGCGACATCTGCTAGCGGCCTCGTCTGTACCGTGTGTGGCACCCGCTTCACCCGACGCTCAAATTGCCGGGAACATATGAAAAGACACGATCCCAGCTGCAGAAAACTCTACCCGTGCGAGGCTTGTGGAAAGACTTTCGGAAGGAGGACTGACTTGAAGAGACACGTGGACAGTGTAAGTCGAGTTGGCCGGCTCGCTGTCTGTTGCTAACCCACGCGAAAAAAAGATTCATCATGGGCTGCGGAAATTCGGTTGCGACCAGTGTGACCGGCGTTTCAGCAGGCAAGACACTTTGGCAAGGCAAGTTCGCACCTTGTGCCTCATCTTAAACCATCTCAGTTCTAACGCGGGCGCTTTACAACAGACATAAGGCATATGGTTGCCGGCAAAAGTCGCGGAGATCCAGTCCCAAGAAAGGCAAGGAACCTACCGGTTCGCCCTCCGAACCCATTTCTTCTGGCTCGTCAGACATACGTTTCCAAATCAGCAAATGATTTTGAATCGGCAGCCGTCAAACAATCGGTGATTTTGGAGCTCGACACGGCATCACGGAAGAGACGACGATCAGGCCATGCAATTTGCGTTGACCGCAAATTGCCGGTGGCCTACATACGACCTCGTAAAGTCTTCTTTTGCAAGGCTACTGCGAAGGTTCACAATCGACACTGCATACATCCAACGATAGAATAGCAAATACCCTTTGAGCATTTATGGGAGGCTGTTTTCTATAGCATTTTCACTTACGCAAGCGGCAGCAGAGGGCAAACGAAAGATATACCGGCGTTCTTTTTCTCCTCATACTGATTGATTTTGTTTCTTTGATTGCATGAATCTCATTGGCGAAGGACAAAGCAGTCTTTAGGCTGTCAATAGCCGGCATAGCATAACATGTAGAGATAGGGACCAGGCGTTGACCAGTGCGAGGTCATGCTGAGCGTGATGATTCGCAGGAAGCATTGATATTTTGATCCTTAGCATCAGTCAGACACATCATCTGCTTAGTTCATCTTCGCGTCAGAGAACTGATTCAGTGCAACTCATGGGGCCGTCTGGAGTTTGACCATCTGGCAGTCTTACAGCAAGTTAACTAAAACATAAGAGGCCAAGATGTTTGTGCTAAGTAATTTCACTTCTACAAAATCCAACGGAATGTGATAACATTGGACGACCGGAAATCCTGAACTTAATCCCCGGCGCTTTGAGACTTTTCGGCTCTGACCGTCAGGGGACTGGCTCCGCTCTGGAATCTGGATCAGGGCTTAGTCTAGGTGCAACAAACAAACAAACTGTGTCCCATCTGCTCCGTCACCTGCGTGAAGTGCAACAAACCAAATATTTCCTGGTTGCTGAAAGAAGCAAATGCAAGTCTTGGCTCCGTAATAGTGGTCATTAGTCTACTGATCTATATCAAATCAATGTCACCCTCATGTTGAGAGCGAGCGACTCAGAGCGATGGATTTGCTGTGGAGTCCAGACTCGCATAGGCATGTCCGTCCAGGCAAAGAATTAGCCAATCGTTATATCAAGGCGACGGGGGATCGGCACAGTGCAAGGCTGAATATGCCGAAGTTCGTTCCATTCGATACAGCAAGTAATATCTACCTGATGCTCGGTCAATAAAGCTCGTATCGGATACTCCTCCCATTGGCAGTGTGTTATTGAAAAGTCCACCGAAGGTACTCTGTACTCGGATCTTTTTACTCGGAAGACCGGAGATTCGGAGTTTGGGGCTCACTGCACACAGGTAATACTCTCCGTAGACTAAGGTAGTGCGTACACCACTGCTCAGTATTCTCCCACATGGACAATGACCTGCTGCAAAGCTGCAAACGGAGAAGTAAGGAATATAGAGTACCAGTTGTCACCTATGACCAGTCAGACAACTGCATATTTAGCCAATACTCCAGCTGTCGAAGTGATAAATTGCGAATGCATTTTTGATGCCGTACTCAATACTACATTACTTAGTAGATCCTTGCATAAGTTACAGTCAGGTGAGGGCCGTTATCTCTCCTTCCCTGCTGTCTGACACGAGCTTACGCAGTTTGGCGTATTTTGCCGACGACCAGGTGAGAGCATTGGGATCGCTTGATCGAACCCCTGCTCCAACAGGCAGCAAGATCCTGCTTTGAGTCACGTCAATCCTTCATCATGTAGCGTACCTCTCTAGAGATCGAATAATCAATTGATAGAAATATATCTGCAGTTTGGGCAATGATTTCGGGGGCGATTAATATGTGAAGATATGTGTGTTCAGCAGGCTAGGACGACTTGATGGCTGGAGATATGCACACACCTCCGCTGCTTCTTCATTCTTTGGTTAGTAATTGAGCATCGGGACTCCGGACGTTGCCTCATTTGAGATTTGCTCTATCCATATCATCTGATCAAGGTGGCCATTGAGAGGGGGATTCTATGGGATTGCATAGCAGGTATGGTATGACAGGATCCCTGTTTGCCCGGGTGAGTAAAGGTAAGCGGTTCGTCAGATGGAGGTCTGCAGCAGGTGGCAGTTATTCAGGTTGTCTTTGGCTTATTATTTCACTACGCAGTGTATTGGGTCAGAGGAGGACAGGGTAGGACCGTCGCAGTCCTAGAAAAGGCTTCACATAACGGAGGATGTAGGAATTTCATCAAACTGCTTGCTCAATGCCTGACGCATACGGAGTACATAGGTAGATGCAATGTGAAAATTAACAAAGCAGTCATTGACCAGTACACGCGACAATAGGAACCCTTGCTTTGATATGTGGGGAGTCAGAAAACAACAATGGTAAGCACAGCTGATTTGGTGGCGGTGTTGTGAGTTCGGCACCTATTCGCCTCACCGCTTTCGAATTATGGGCGGGGTTTTCCCTTTATGAACAACCAAGGGGCTACAAAACCGTACAATTGTCTGACGCTTTTTCAGAAACTTTTCTAAGGCCTGTCGCTCTTCAGGCAGACTATCAAGTGGTTTTCTAATTTGATAGTACACTGCCCAGAATACACATACCAAGATGACAGCCACTACAACAGTTACTGCTCCCCCCAGAATTACGGCGGAGAATGTCGCCACTCTCTTCCCAGAAGTTGATACATCGCTGGCTCGGGAGGTTTTCCCCTCGACAGCGGAGGGCTCCGCCAAAGACAGCGAAGAGCTTGCTGGCTACGATGAGGAACAGGTCCGCTTGATGGACGAAGTATGCATTGTTCTAGATGACGACGACAAGCCCATCGGCAGTGCCAGCAAGAAGGCCTGTGAGTGTCTCAATTCATTGTTTATCTTTCGGATGCTTCCCAGAAACAGTCTACTAACCTGTGTGATGGATAGGCCATCTCATGACCAACATCGACCGGGGTCTGCTTCACCGTGCATTTTCAGTTTTCCTCTTCGACTCTAACAACCGCCTGCTATTGCAACAACGTGCTTCCGAGAAGATCACCTTCCCCGATATGTGGACGAACACCTGCTGCTCTCACCCATTGGGTATTCCCGGTGAGACCGGTGCCGAGCTCGAGGCCGCCGTGCTGGGTGTGAAGCGTGCCGCGCAGCGGAAACTGGACCAGGAGCTTGGAATCAAAGCGGAACAAGTACCTCTGGAAAAGTTTGAGTTTTTCACGAGGATTCACTACAAGGCGCCCAGTGACGGAAAATGGGGCGAGCATGAGAGTATGTATCTGATATCTTGACGGCTTCCGGATTCGCTTTTGCAGCCGTTGCTGACACGCAGATTCTAGTCGACTATATCCTCTTTATCCAAGCAGATGTCGATCTGAACGTGAACCCTAACGAAGCCCGCGATACGAAATATGTCAGCGCCGAGGAGTTGAAGCAGATGTTCACCCAACCAGGCCTCAAATTCACACCCTGGTTCAAGTTGATTTGCAATTCGATGCTGTTCGAGTGGTGGAGCCACCTCGGCACGGCGGGCCTGGACAAGTACAAAGGGGAGAAGGAGATTCGCCGCATGTGAGAAGTCTGCACGACAAGAACGCACGGTGAAGGATTCTTTTGTTTATAGCCAGCGCTATCTGGCACTTTTAATATTCTGTTTGGAGAATAGCATGATACCATATTATGGCATGAGCCAGTCCACTTTATAACATGATTCCTCGATAAGGAGCCAATTGATATTCTTTTGAGTTTACAGAACTCGACAATGTCCTTACTTTGCCGTTTATGGGCAACCCTTAATCGCCTTGGAGGCCATAAAAGCTACGAATGACGAGCATCGAATCGTGCACCTATAAAAGATGCCGGCTGCAGCTAACGTCGAGTCTCCGCTCCAGTGACAATAAACAAGATACAGCAGGCGAAAATAACCACTCCAACCACAGTAAATGTCAGCTGCGTTCTCCACCCACTCTGCACCAGGGCCGCCTTCCGACTATATTTCACCACTGTCCGGATATAGTTCCCGAACCCGTTCACAAGACAAGCCAGGCTCAGAACCCAGAAGACAATTCCCAGCGGAAGGGCCAGGCGGCGTTCAAGACCCGTTGGCTGAGAGCGGAAGTGGAACGAGATGATGATCGCTATCGAGACAACGGCGAGGTACATGGATAGCCGGAGCCAGGAGAGGAATGTGCGTTCATTTGCGCAGTGATCTCGAGCATCGGAGGCGACGTTCTCGAATAAGAGAGCTCCGAAGAGAGGGCGGCTGAGGAAGATGTGTTTCTTATTCTGGAGGTGTCTGGAGAATTGGGTTAGTTGGGTACCCTCTGGCCAAGGGATGCTATCAAGGCGATCGGAGAAGACAGAGTGGGATCTATGGCGGTCTCGAACCTGCCTGAATGTTGCCCTGCTCCGAGTAGAATAACGGGGTCGCATACATAGGGCTTTACTTACTCTTCTACTAGCACTGGATCCGAGTTGGTGACGTTAATTATCGGATTGTATCGCGGCCGTAGAGAGGATGGATCCTGCTCTGCCGTGTGTTCAGGCATCTCGAGTATGAATAAAATTCCCGCAAGAGAACCTCCAAAAGGCGTAGTTCATCCAGGGGCAGCTATGAAATTCATGGCGAGGAGATAGCCACGATTCTTTCATAGTCAAGGAGGATTAATTTAAACACTTGAGTCCAGTTATTGATCGATCCGATGATAGGAGCACGTGATATGCATCTGCTAGTCCACTTTGAGACTGATGGCATATGTCAACTCACGCCCTGCTATTGATTGAGCTCTGCCGCCATCTTGTCCAATCTGATTTGTCTATCGATCTCCAAAGTGAACAGCAAGTACAGGATGGCAATCCATACGGACTTTTGGTGGATGTTGATCGACCACTCAATAATCGAGATCCTGTGTCTTGCGGTTATCGTTATGTTTGGACGGGATGATTCCGAGAGGTATCCATATTGACGTTTGCGGGGTTCACCGTACGAGCAACAACGCAAGAGCACTAAGTATGGACTCTTGACATCTGAGGGAGAATTGATCTTGAAGGTACCTTCTTACTCGTGCCTTTGATTAGGAAATGGCAGTAACAAGATCTTGTTGGTTCAAAAGTCAACCAACACGAGATGAGTCATGACTGGTTCATTCGGACGGCGTCAAAAAGGCAGTGGGGCCTTTTCAATATCCGGTCCTCACAACTTTATTCCTGATCTTACTCTTATCGCCGCGGGCGGTCATCGAGGCGAAGTCTGCTACTCTAGCTCCCCCAACCGTTCGTTCCGCTCCCAATCACTGTGCGTCGTTTCCTGTGTTTCAATGGAGGGCTGAGGACGCTTCATTTTGAGCACTAGGACAGGGTGGATGACAGTGACTGCGTATATCAGCATCCTTTGGATAGATTCGGCATTTGGCAGCTTAATTATCTGCATCTAATAATTGTCACCATGGTTCGCGCTCAAGGCAGTCGCTCGCTCAATGCAGACGAGCAAATACATTACCGTCGTTGCATGTCAAGCTCCCCTCTGGCGGAAACGGCAATTGCTCGAGATCTCGAGAATTACGCTGATAACGAAGACTCCATAACTACCACCGAAGACGAGGAACACTCCGAGGCGTCGACAGTACGTGCGATCAATAGCCAGCCCGGTACAGCCCCCCATTCTTTAGTTGGCTCTTACCAACGCCCCAGCTTTTTCACCACTGTATCGCATAGCACAGTTGTTCCACACCGAGGAGAGCCGGAATGTCTTTCGTGGAGGGAACGCGGCCAGGCAATCGAAGAGGAAAGACGACTTCTGACTGATAATCATATTATTTCGGATGATATCAGGACAAATGACCAGAGCGGACGACGGCGCAGATTCAGCGGCCTTCTGTCTCGCAGCCTCAGATCAAAGTCCCCCGAGCCTGTAGATCCACTGGAGTCTGGCAGCGGAGTGGAGAGGCGGGAGAGGACGGAAGCTGTCGCTGTACCGACAGAAACTACCTCTCTGCTTGGAGCTGGGAATGGTGGCCCTGACTATAGCTTGGGAGATGCTGAAGCGATTGATCGAAAGTGGGAGGAAGCAGTGGTTGCCGGTCTGATACATACAACGTGGAAGCGAGAAGCTCTGGTGATAAGCAGATACGCTGCTCCGCTTACTGTTACCTTTCTGCTTCAGTATTCCTTGACGGTAGCGAGCATATTCACCCTGGGGCACCTGGGCAAGAAGGAGCTCGGTGCTGTTAGCTTGGCAAGTATGACTGCAAATATTACCGGCTATGCAGGTTCGTCCGCTTCTTCCATCTACATTAGTCTCGTTATTCTAACTGCGTCATACAGTCTACCAAGGTTTAGCAACCAGCTTGGACACTCTCTGTTCGCAAGCATACGGATCTGGAAAGAAGAAGCTTGTTGGTCTGCAAATGCAAAAGATGGTCTTCTTCCTTTGGACTATTACCATTCCTATTGCATTGATTTGGTTTTTCGCCGATATGATCCTCATGAGAATTGTTCCGGAGAAAGAGGTCGCCGAGTTGGCAGGTTTATACCTGAAGGTGGTTGCTCTGGGCGCACCGGGGTACGCTTGCTTTGAGAGCGGGAAACGGTACATGCAGGCCCAGGGGTTGTTCTCGGCATCCCTCTTCGTTCTGTTGATTTGCGCTCCTTTTAATGCGTTCATGAATTGGTTCCTCGTCTGGGTATGACCACGCCAATCATTATCTCGCACAGTTTGGTACAACTTGACTGACGCGTAACTAGAAAGTTGGTTTGGGCTTCGTTGGTGCACCCATCTCGGTCGCCATTACTGATTGGCTAATGCCGTTCTTCTTGTTCCTCTACGTGTACTTCGTTGCAGGCTCAGAATGCTGGAATGGTTTGACAAAGCGTGCTTTCCGAAACTGGGGCCCGATGATCCAGCTTGCGCTTCCCGGACTGGTCATGGTGGAGGCCGAATGCCTTGCCTTTGAGGTCTTAACTCTGGCATCGTCATGGCTTGGCACAACTCCCCTCGCTGCGCAGTCGATCTTGTCCACAATCGCGAGCATCGCGTTCCAAATCCCGTTCCCAGTGTCTATCTCCGGCAGTACTCGCGTCGCCAATCTCATCGGTGCAACGCTTGTGGATGCCGCGAAGACTTCCGCAAAGGTGACCATGGGAGGTGCGGTCATTGTCGGTCTGTTGAACATGATCGTTCTCTCATCACTACGCCGTTATATTCCCCTTCTGTTCACTTCAGATGAGGAAGTAATCAAGCTCGTCGCTGGAGTTCTACCTCTTTGTGCAGCGTTTCAGCTTTTTGACGCGCTCGCGGCTAACTGCAACGGTATCATGCGTGGTATCGGACGGCAAGAAATCGGAGGTTACGTCCAGCTGTTTTCATACTATGCTATTGCAATGCCGATCAGCTTTGGCACAACGTTCGGACTGAATTGGGGTCTCTTTGGTCTCTGGTCCGGGGTCGCTATTGCTCTTTGTCTCGTCTCGATCATCGAGATGATCTTCCTCACTCGAGCAGATTGGAATAGGGCTGTGACTGATGCCCTTCGGAGAAACGCGATGACATAAATGTCTTTGCGTAGGTGGTACTATGGTTGATGATGCACTATAGTTGATGATGCACTATGGTTGATGATGCACTATGGTTGATGATGCATATGATATGCTGGCTCGCCCTTATCAAAACGGGGATGTATAAATGGACGTTGAGATTTAATGAGTATTCGGCCGGAGGTTTCATATAGGAGGATAACGGCTTAAGTCTGCTGTCTCGTCAAGAAGGATCTAGACTGCTAGGTATATAGTATAAAATCGAGAAGACCCAGGCCTTTACACCTTTTATTTCCCGCCACATACTCATAAATGTCACATAAGCGGTATATTCAATACACAATCATCCTAGTACTCCAGAATCGCCCAAGTCTGCTCATCAACAGTCGAGAAAATGACACCAGCAGTAAGTAACTCCTCCCCAGCCCGTGCTACATCCGGCATGGGCAGATTCAATTTAGCAGCAATCAACTGAGCGTGCAGACCCTCGTTGCTCTGAGGCTCAGTCTTCAAGAGGTTATAGACTCTCCGAGCGGCAGGGCTCATAGCAGGGAGATTACTGTTACCAGCACCGTAGTCATTTGCACCACCCATGGCGGCGTCGGTGCCGGCTCCAGCACCAGCATTGCCGCCAGCGGCTCCACCACCAGGAGGACCACGCGTAAAGAACAAATGGATCGCAGCGGCCTCGAGAAGATGGCAGTGTACCTCGTTGAGATTCGTCGTCGGCCGTACACAGTGCGCTCCCACGTATCGCTTATTCCCGAAGGACTTGATCTTCCCAAACACCTTTGCGTAGCCGTTCAGCTCGACTGGGTTCTTCCCGGTGCCGGCTCCCTTCCCGTCATCCGTCTCCATCGTGTCGGCGGTCTGTGTATCTATCCACTGCTTCACTTCAATCTCCCCTGTGCCATCGTCGATCTTGTATGTGACGTTTGTGCTCTGTGAGCTGATGTTGCGGACTTGACCAATGAAGCAGACGCTGGCCGCGTCCGCTCCGTCAATCTGGAAGGCGGCTTCGGGGTATGGTTGTGAGGCGTCGAGGGCTTGTTTGACTGTGATCGGACGAAGGGTGGCATTGTTGTTGTCGCCCTGGGTTTGTATATGTCAGTAAGGCTATATTCATCAAGCGATGAGTGTGGTCTGAAATTGCCGCCTTGTTTGACACAAACTGGGAGGGATAGTTCATTGCGGGTCTAATTCGGGAAATGCGAACAGAGGAAAGAGAGCAGGATACCTTTCCACCAGCTGGACTGTTCATTTCTCCAGGCATGAAGCCACCACCGCCTCCACCTCCGTATGAGGTGTTGCCATAATTATTGTAACCCCCGTCTGGCAGAGGAGTCAGTCAGGCCATGAGAACAACGAATTACCGATGTAAACAGCGAAGCAGAAGCTCTACCCACCCATTTTGTAGTAAGTCCTAAAAAATCCGCTTTGAATGCCCACCAGGGGAAAGCTATCAATTATCACCGGGAGAAACAAAGGCGCTCACATCATTTCTCTGCGAGGGCTGCCATTTTACCTCTTCGGGACGTGTTGGACGCGTCGCGGGGCGGACGGTGTTTGTCGTGTTTGCAATGAGCATGGATTGCAGTAAAATTGGAACAGAGTTTGTTCGCTCACCGCTTTGGGATTTTCTCCACTGCTAAAACGAAAAAAAGTGAGATTACCATCACGACAGGGCTGGATTTGTTCTGTTCGGACGGAGACGAGAGGCAATTTGATTTTCATTTCGCCCTTGCAAAATATAATTGGATGGAAAGTGTTTTCTGTTTCCGTTTCATCTTACGATTTTGGTGAAAGTTGAAGCCTGAGCTGTTCCGAGCTTCAAAATATCTTCTCCCGCCGTCGGGCGACCTCAACCAACCTTTTTTCCAATATTCTGTTTAGGAGCCACTAGCGCCATCTGCGCAACAGAATCTCAAGATGCCTCACCGCGCGGCATCCCCAGCGATGTCGGAAAATGAGTTCGACATCACAGGCGCGCTCTTCCAGAATGACAGCGACTCCGACAACGAACAGCCCTCGGTCAAGTCCAAGCGGCAGCCCCGAAGAAGGTTCCCTCGCAGGCGCTCGACTTCCTCGGCGATGTGAATGAAGACGACGACGATGATGA